TTGAGGCTATATGGTTGACTAGACTGACTGTTAATTAGGTCAATTATCTAAGAGATAATAGAATTACTTCTTGGCTGACATGATTTGGTCATTGAAGCAACCGAAGGAACTCTACCGCGAGTGAAGTAATCAAAGACATTCAGAAAGCAGAATCCCCCCAGGGCCACAAAGCCTTTCCTTCGGGATGTCTTAAATCTTCAGCTCTGGCTCAGGAGAAAATAAACCAGAAATCTTGAAACACGTGCACCAGTAACAGACTAAAATCAGCTAAGATTCCACACTGCAACTTTTAAGCTGACGTAAGAACACATACTCTAAGAGAAAGTAACTTATATCAGTGAAATGTCTAAAATAAGAACACTCATGACTAGATTATTTAACAAGAGATAGAAGAGAATAAGGTGGTAAGTGAGACCACCCTGTGAACCCTCACAATGTTCCACGGGTCCTTGTTGGTTTTTCTTCAGGGTGGTTGCCATGCCATCTCTAATAGTGATGATTAGAGAAAATGAGAACCCTAGCTGAGACTTCACAAGCACATGGAAAGATCTTCTGGATAGGTTTGTCCCATATGTAAATTAAGCAGTCATTATTCAACAATTTTAAAAATTAAAATAATATATATGGGATAACATTTTCCATGCCTTACATGACGCTTCAAGGAATGGCCACATGCCCTGGCTGGTGGGGCTCAGTTGGCTGAGTGTCGTCCCATGCACTAAGAGGTCACTAGTTCAAGTCCCGGTCAAGGCACATATCTGGGTTTCAGGCTTGATCCCTAGTAGGGGGTGTGCAGGAGGCAGCCGATTGATGTTTCTGTCTCTCCCTCTCCCTTCCTTTTTGTCTAAAAAATAAAAGAAAAATCAATAAAAACATGTTGTTGTTTTTTTTAAAAAAAGGAATGTCTATACAGTTTTTCATAGTATCCTCTACATAGTAAGTAAATAGTTGAGGCAAAATCCACCATCGCCAACCTACAAATGAAAGAAATCTTAATTCTTTAAAGGCAGACTCAAAGACCATCATCTGTGCAGGTGTACCACCTGGACACCTAGGAGTCACTCCTAATTCCCTCCCTCACACACCCCTACATTAATTCAGCCTTAGGGTCCTATTGCTATTATCTTCTAAACATATCTCAAAGCTCACCGGCACTGACTCATCTCTTAAACAGGCATTGATATCAGACATTCAGGGTCTTTGCAATTCCTCCACTTCTAATCCATACTCCACAGTGCTACCAAAGTAATTTTCAAATGCTAAGACTGCTCCTGTCATGTCTTTGCCTAAAATCTTCACATGGCAGGGACCCTATCATCTTCAGGATAAATTCAAATTCTCAAGCATATAATCTGTTTATCCCACTCTCCACCCACCCCTGCACATGTAATTTTCTTGCTTTACCCCAAATGTGCCATGCTACCTCATCTGCCTTCCTTCCAAAACTATTAACTAGGCCACATTTTACGTGACTGGCAAGATCTTGCCTTTGTAGATCTTACATTCTTATGGTTGGTAGGTAGGTAGATGGTTGATAGATGACAGATAACAGAAAGATAATTAATTGATAGAGAAGTAGGTAGATGATAGATTATTGACAGACATGTTTGATAGAGAGATACTGATAGATGACTGACAGACAGGAAGACAGATAATTGACAGAGTGTTAGGGTGATGGCAGCAATGGATACAAATGAATCAGGATGGGGAAGTGTAGGGATCGTGTGTGAGGTAATATGGCATTTTACCATTTTATTTGTGTGATCAGAGAATGCCTTACGACAGCAGTCACATCTGAGCAGAGACCTGATGAGGGTAAGGAAACCAAGAGTGTGCATATAAGAGGGAAGACCATCCGAGGCAGAGAACAGGCAGTGTAAATGGCCCTGCAGCAGTCAGGTACCTTTGTGCTAAAAAACCACCCAGGATGCCAGTGAGGCTGCAGAGGAGGGGTAATAGGAAAGACGAGATCATGGGGCAATGAAGCCAGACCGCGCACACGATAGGTTGTTATGGCTCATGACTCGCACTCGGAGAGCAATGGAGCCGCTGGGAGAGGAGCGGAGGAGGGTTGCCAGTTGGCACGTACTTAGGAACTCAGAGTGAGGCGCGGCGCCCGCTCGGAGACCACACGACACAGGGACATTTGCCTTCACACATTAACCTGCAGTTCACTGGTCTGGCTCCTCCCTGGACTGTGAACCCTGGAGGGGCGGGGGAGGCTGTGCTTACTTTCTCTGTAGCTCTCCAGCATCAAGCAGATGAGGAAGAACAATGCATCTTACTCCTCGGGGGCTGGGCGCTCGGCTGCAGCTCCAGGACTGTGCTGGCCACTGGAGGGGCTGAGTTAGTCTTTGACGTTAGGCCTGGAACCCAAAATTCTGGCACAGGGAAGGGGTGATCTTAATGACTGGGCAGAAAGGGCAACCAAGTGAGAGGAAATAGAATGATGCAGAGGGAATGGAACATGGGCACCCAGACAGATGCCCGCAGGAAATAAAGCCACAAGGCCAGGAGCCTGTTAGAACTCTGCGGGCAGGGGGCGGGGGGAGCACCAAGTGCTCACATCCGGTCTGGGGCTCGACCTGGAGAGGACTGACACTGGCTGCAACTTTTGTTCGAAGCTCCTCCACCTCACAGTGATGTGGGTGAGGAATTAAGAGCAGGGCTTGAGGTAGGCTGAACCCAGATGGTCTAGTTTCCTTTGCAGAGGACTATGCTGACCACGTTTCTACGGACTAGTGAAAATAACCCTTGAAGTTACGCTTGAGTCTTCTTAGCCCGCACGCCCCCTCCAGTGTGCTGCTCTCCCACATCCTCTCTCTGCCTGCAAAGACGGAAGGCGATGTGCACAGGTGAGCTGACATATACCAGAGGCCCAGGAATCACCATCCCTGCTGTGCTAACCTCTCTCGGACTTTTACTGTCTGACTGTCTGTCCTACCTTGCCCCTAAATAACCAGGAGGACTTGCAAGACACAGTGCACCTTACCAAAGGCCATATAAACCCCAGGAGGGGTTTATTAGTCCCACCCCTCATCATCAGGAAAGACAGATAATGTGGGATATAGACTTGCTAGGATTTAACTTCCATTTAAATTTTAAAAATTAACACAGAGTTAAAGGTTAGAAATGGATGCAAGATTAAACCTTTGTGGCAAGAAGGCAGATGAGAAGGAAGACAAAGCCAGATGTGCACCGTTTTGGTGAGCTACTCACTGCAGCATCATTAATAATCACATTCCTGCCTCAACTTCCCTCTTCTCATCTACAGAACAGAAATAAGAGCGCAGGACTAGCTTCTGTGAGAACTGAAGACACTGGCGATCGTAAACATGTGTCTTCATGTGCGGTCTACAGGTATGTCTACTGTATGTAGGGCTGTGGGACCACGTGTGTCTGCTGTATGCAGGACCATGTGGGTATCTACATGTGTGCGTCTACGTGTACACGTGAATATAAAATACTGGGAGCAGCTGAAGACAAAGGAGTGAACGGAAACAGCTCGCAGCAAGCTGACACACACGTGCCTGCCTCCACTCTCCTCGTGATCGGGAAGGGGTCTCTGAGGTACCTGCATGGCTACGATGGGTTCTTGACATACGCTGGGTTAAAATACCTCTGAAAAACAGAAGGTGGATTTAGGAACAAACTCCTGCCTTCATCCCAGCCCCAAGCACTGACCCGCATCAAGGCCTCTCGAGAGGGGCTGAGAAGGCAGGAAGACCAGCGTGAGGCTGCACCTGGCTTTTCCTCCTTTCTCGAGTTTGTTCCTCTTGTTTGTGCAGATGGCTACTCCTGATGCCATGAGATCTGCCTCACCGCTTCATCCCTCCAGGAAGTCAGTCAGACGGCTCCTTACTATCTGTAAGTGGTGGTTTGTCTCATAAGCCCCCATTGGCGGAAAGATTCGCGAAACATGGACCCTCCCAAGCCTGGATGAACCGGCTGAGCTACTTCATCGGCTGCAGTCTCAGCTTCCTCTTCTGCAGCGTGCAGCAGTAATAAGCATTTGGCCTGTTGGGCTCCGCAGTTAGAGTGTAGGCCCGTGAACCGGAGAGGCCCAGGTTCGGTTCCCGCTAAGGGCACGTACCTCGGTTGCAGTTTGTCCCCGGCCCTGGTTGGGGTCGTGTGGGTGGCAGCCACTCGATGTGTCTCTCTCACATCGATGTTTCTCTCTCTCTCTCTTCCCCCCTCTCTCCCTCATGCTCTACCTGAAAATAAATGCCCAAATGTCCTTGAGTGAGGATTAAAAAAACAAAATGAAAACTGAGTGAGACGACGTCTGTGAGGCCTTCATCCAACATGAAGTGATATACAAATGTGCAACTAGGACGTCAGAAGCAGCAACGCCCTGTGCCCCGAGCCGGTGTCCCAGCAACACTTTCCAGTCTTTTCCTTTTAAAAATTAGAGTTAGGGAAGCAGGTAAAAGCAACTTTAATCTAGATGGGGGGGGGGGGGGAGGCAAATGTCTCAAAAGGTAATTAAAATACTAATCACAGTACACATTGTCTGAGCTAAATTAATGAACTAACGTCAAGCCAGCCAAACCCAGGTGATGATTACAGTAAAATGGAATTACCCAGACAGTGCTCTCGTAGACAGCATCATAAAACACAAAGGCAATAAAAGAGGACATATACAATTTTAAGGATTTTGGTTTGTTTGTTTTTAAAACAGTACTTGAAAAACAGAAATCACTGAAGTTAAAGGAGAAGAAAAATTATACTAGCAATGAACATTATAAAAATTAAAACCAAACTGTTGAACAGTGACACCTAAAAAAATAAAATTTGGTTCATGAGCAGTTACTATTTTTAAAATGATCAAACTCTAAATCGTGAACAACACTATCTGTAAAAATGTGAAAATAATTGCTGTTTACTGAATGTTAATGTATACCCTGGACAACGTCTGTGTATGAGGTAGGATGTAGTCATTCTACCACCGACATTACAGAGCAGGGGACTGGTGACCTCATGCTGCATTGGTGTCTTACCCGACCGATAGCGCTCATCTCGCGACCCTGAGGACCTTCGGCGGTGATAGCGAGAGGAAGAGGAAGGAGTAACCGGAGCCCGGCGCTCTGGCGGCAAAGCTTGATCCACCCCTGGGTTAAGGAAAATAGCAAAGTAAGGTGAGGCTTTACTTGGTACGGGCGTTAATTGGTAGGATACAGCCCTGACTCGCTGCGTTCCCACGGCCGAGCTAGAGCGCACCTGGGAGTGGGCACAGGGACCTCACTGACGATGACCAGGAAAGTGGGAAGTGTCCAGGGCGGGGCAAGACTCACACCCAACACTACAGCCTTCAGAACCGGCGCACGGCCCTGCACATCACAGTGTCTAACTCGTCATGGGAAGGGATGCCAACTGAGCCACATGCAACGTCTGACATCTTCAGGGTTTGGATGAAAAAAAGAAAATGGAGCCCAAAGCACAGAATCCAGTAATGATCTTACATACAAAAAGTGGGAAAAAATACTGGGAAAAAATTACAAAGTACATTTGTCATTAAAGATAACTTTACATCTTATAGGACATGTTAACAATATAATTCAGGTAACTAGGATTGAGAATAAGCTCCACTCTTGTTCATTCAAAACTTCTAACTCTCTGGAATCTTACTCCATTTGAAGCGACATGATTGAACAAATTGTGTTTCACTATGGTTCTGATGAAGTACCCAAAACACTACGGTCAGATAAGAATGATTCAGTGGGCACTGGTCAAATGCTGACCTATATCTGGCGATCACAATACCTATTATACTTCAGAACCGGAGCAGTAAAAGCACAGCCTAGATCAAAGCAAGCACTATGGGAAAGATGAATCATTACAGTCCGAAACGAGGAAATTCTGAGCACGGAGCATTCAACACTGCTACTTCTTCAGAAACGGGCCAAAAATACTTGACAGTAAACCACAGACAGCAATTTTAACAAAACGGTGTTCAGTCCCTGGTTGTCCGTGATGGCTCCAGGAGAGTCATTTGTCCCTGGGATTTAATTTTCCGCTTATGGTGATTTCTGTGCCTCAAAAAATTTTTTTATCTTCACTGAGGATGTGGTTTTTTAAAAAAATTTTTTATTGATTTTAGAAAGAGAGGCAGGGGAAGAGAGAGAGAGAAAACATCGATGTGAGAGACAAATATCTATTGGTTGCCTACTGTAAGAATTGAACCTGCAACCTTCTGGTGTATGGGATAGCACTTCAACCAACTAAGCCACCTGGTCAGGGCTGCACCTCAACTTTGGAGGGCATGTGTGTGGGTCCCACACTAAGTTAACTATTAGCATTGTGGAAACGACACCTAGGCTGTAGCTACTGTCGGGTTCGGTGAACTTCATCTGGCATGTCAGCATCATTACTGAACAATTCTTAATGACTGGAATGTCTGCGGCTACCAAACCTCTTCTAGTTATCTACAAAGGATGTTTTTTAAATGATCTTTTAAAAAACTTTATCTAACAGATACACAGAAATCAAAGAATACTATTAAATCATATGATGAAAAACAGTTACCTTTTATTTACATTCATATTTATAAATATGGATTTATAGTCCTACTTAGTTGTCCATTTTAGACAACTCTCCCTTGCACCACCCTGGCCATCACTATCCCGTTACTGGGATTATGAGTCAGTAGTGTGCTATGAATACCTTCCTATTTTACACTTTTTTGTTATTCTGGAATTAATATATGTATCTTTTTATTCCATTCTCTTGATTTTCAATGTACCTATTGCTAATCTTTCAAAATTGCCCAACAGCACTGAAAAACTCTTTCCAATTCTTTTCTCCCTGTGGTAAACACTGACAAGTGTTTTAGTTTTTAATTCAATTTCCTTTTCTTTGAAGACCTCCCTCTTGGAATCGCCTCTGGCTCTAATCCCAGCTGGTTGGCCTGGACTTGCTATGTAACTGCCATATTTCAAGTCAGAATTCTAAGCAAAATTATTTGTGACTTCAAAAATTTATTTGTATAAATATATTTGAAAATTATTTGTATTCATTGCTTTTCATATCAATTATTGTTGATGGAAAGTTAAATACCATTCTGATGCTATAATCTTTATATAAAATCTGTTTGTTTTCTCCTTCTCCGTCAACTTTTGCCGTTTCTCCTTTATTCCCATCAGAGGAACTGCAGGCCGTGCTTTCTTCTTTTGGCGGCAGCATCACCAGATCTATTCCCAGTAGGTCTTTTATCTGGGCTCTTCCACTTGCCCAAAGATGAGGCCTCTGGTCTCCCGTCTTTTGACCGAAGCAGCATCCATCATTCCCGGCTGGAGCTCCTCCCTCCCTCCAGTGTGCGTGCTCTGATTCGGTGAACTCTGGGGTCAGTACCACTTACAGCCCTGAATCTGGAGGCTCCTAGTCCCTGTCTCCAGAGAACAACTCTCACTGGGGAGTGGGAAGGACATGGATCACCTGCTTTCTGGATGCTGTGCCTCCCCCACCCTGAGGTTTCATCAGCGTCTTCATCTGCTGCCTCCCCTCAACCCTCAGCTGAGAAAGGCACCTTCCAAATTGCAGAAACCTGTCACTGCTTCTTCCCTTCTCCTGTCCCGTGGCTTTACACTTTACCTGTTTACTGACGTCTTCGTGCAGTACTGGAAAGAACAGCTAAATGGACAGTATGGAGTGGCCGGGGTTACACAGTGACTGATATGTATATACACTTAATGTCGCACCTCCATTCTCAGTACTGTTGCCTTTCCAGTTCATTCAAATGTGCTTCCTGGAACTACGTTCAACCTGGACCGCCTCTGGCTCCCTAGGTGGTCGTGTACTTCCTCTGAGACGCACCGTCCTAACACTCACACACTGGACCAGCACTGCCAACCGGCAGGGTAGTGCTCACCCGTGTGTGGGCCCACACCTCAGTCCTCGGAAAGCTAATATGCAACAACACTGTCGACATTTACTCTTTTGTTGTTGTTTATCTTCACCTGAGGATATTTTTCCCACTGATTTTTAGAAAGCGTAGAAGGGAAGGGGGAAAGGAGAGAGAGAGAAACATCTAATTGATGTGCGAGAGACACATGGATTGGTTGCCTCCCCACACGTCCTGACTGGGGCCAGGGACTGAACCTGAGAGCCTCCGGTGTGTGGGCCAACACTCTAACCACTGAACACACTGGCCAGGGCTCAACATTTACTTTAACAGGCCGAAATACAAAATTTACAAAACAAAAAGTTTTAAAAATAAATAAATAAGTCTGACAAAAGGATACTAGCTTTAATAGGTAACCAGCAACAGGATATTAAAATAAACTAAAGCATCAGTATGTATATTTCAGCCACCAGTTTTCATCTGACTTCACTGTGAATGAAATTTGAAGTGGCTGAAAGGTACATTCTAACAAGAAAAAGCCGATTGTCAAATATGCGACTCCAAAGCAGAAGTCAACCTGTTACCATGGAGGACCCAGGGGCAGCAGTGGAGGGAGGGGTCCTTCTCATTATCTGTCATTAGGATTTGACCAAAGGCCACTGCTGAGATGGGTGCCTTCTTGGTGACACTAATACACAAAGAATTAGTGAAACACCATTATAGCTCAGCATCCAGCATAGCTGGGGTCTCACTTTCATACCATGATTGAGAACTACCTCTCAGGTAAACTGCAGGCCGACCAGAGTGTCTACAACAGAGGCAGGCCGAGAGAGGTCCCTGGGAAGGTGAGGTGTCCCGAGGGAGGTGGGGTAACTGTCCAAAATCATAGCAGGCGGGGGGGGGGGGGGTGCAAAAACTAGTTCCCTCAAATAACAACGTGATAAGAATTAAGACTGGACTCTTTCTCCCACATTTAATGAGCACCAAGTGCCAGGCCCTGGCCTAGCTTCAGATCCCCCGTGGACCGAGAGGAACTGGCCAGCGGCATCATGATCTGGAGATGGGGCCCCAGCTGGCTGTTGTCAGCATCTGTGGCCCTGGGCCTCAGTTTACCATCTTTACATGGAACCGATAAGAATTGCTAACACTTAATTGCACTGTTCTAAGCCCTACACATTTGTGAGTTTGTTTCATTTATTAACATAACCATATGAGATAGGTGCTGTTACTTCTGCCATTTATTGATGAGGAAACACAGGTCCAGAACTGGGGTCTGGACTCAGGTAGCCACTCCCTAGCAGCATTTACATATTTGCCTGCAGCTGCCCTTTCCCTTTGCCGGGGGGGGGGGGGGGGGGGGTCTCCTCCCGGAGCTCCCAGGTGCCCGCCGTCACTCCGGTGACGAGGTCCTCGAGGCCGTGTGGCAGCGCCGTACTCCCAGTACAAGAATTACTGGTTACACGAACAACATCCAGCTGGTGCCTCGACACCACAAAGAAGTATTTTTGTGACTTTATTACAAAATTATTCATTCAACAGCAATCTTACAAGGGAAGATGGAAACAGGTACCCTTTCACTGTTGCCCAGGAATGAACTCAGCTGACAGCTGTTGTCTGACACAAGTTGTGCCCATCAGATCCTTACTGGGGAGACGGGCAAGATGAGGTGACCTCTGTCTTGTTACCTACCCACCCCCACATGGGCCGAGCGCTGCCCCTGCCCGCAGGATGGGCTCAAGAAACACATCTGAACCAGTAAGTGACACTTTCGAGACTCGTGCAGAGGCTGGAAGGCTTCAGCTCGAATATGACAATGTCCGTGAGTGTTTTGTTTTTCCTCTAGAATTGCAATGGGACTATAAAAAATGTTCCAAACCCGAGGAAGACACCCTAAGTTACAAAGAGGAGAGAGGAGACAGAAGGAAAGCTCAGGAAGAGAAAGACACCCCCAGGCCTTCGCTGAGCTCCCACCTTCCCAGGACGGCCAACGTCTGCAGGTGGCATTCCTCCCTCTCAAACTTCCACATGCCGTGAGTCCTCTCTTCTTCACCCCGCCCCATCCTGAAGGTTAGGAAAGCCATCGGGCCTAGCGCTGGGCCACCTGGAGCCCTCACGGTCAGATGCGACCTGCTGCTTCATCTCCGTCCCCGGGGCTCCCACGCATCCCTCCAGTCTGTCCCTGCTTCAACCTGAGCAGGGCTCTGCCCAGTTCATTTCCCAGCATCCTATCGACCAGAAAACAAAGCCCAGACGCCTTCACCTAAACTACAG